AAGTCTGGACTAACTTATTAAATTACCATTACAGAGGTATTATGGTCAATAGATTCAACGTCCCATGTCCTGTCACGTCCTATTCATTCCAATCCCCTTAAACATATCAGATTGAATAATATTTTGTTAAACCCTCTTTATAATCCTAACCCAATCCAAACATAGGATAGGGCATACAATCCAAAGGAATTTATAATTCTAAGACTATTAGCCATGAAAATGCTAATCTAACCTAATCCAGTCCGCTTAAACAAATATGGCCTAAGTAGGTTGTAGCCGAAATGAAAGCTATGACATGATGAGAGATCAATCCTACGTTTTGATTTTCAGTTTTACCATTGCGGCTCCACCGACTTTGATCTAGCTTGAGAACAAGTTATTTTAATTGATTTTTTTTTATTATTATTTTAACTTGATTAAAAAAATTATATTTGTGATGATAGTTGATTTGATGATTGTAAGAGAAAAAGTGAAATGATTATGATTTGAATGTGATATTTTAGGGTGTTTTGGGAAGATGGTTAAAAGCTGTTTTTGACTTTTTTATGAGAGAGGGAAGTGAGTTAAAAGTTGGGAAGTGGCTTTTAACCCACTTCCCAAAATGAGCCTTTGTGTTATTGGCCATTGAAGTGTATTTTATCTTTGTTGGCTATTTTAACCTAAACCAAACTTCCTAGACAAGGCCCTCGTAATTTTATTTTATTTTTGTCTTATTATTGTTTGTGGTAAAAGAAAGAGTTGGGATTTATTAAGGATGAAATTCTCAATTTTTTGATTCATTAGCGGATTAACTTAGACTTATTTTGGTGATCTAAACTTTTTATTTTATAAACTAAAAAAATTATTCATGTAAGAAGTTAAGTAGATCAATATCGATTGTCATACTATTAGATCATTTTTATTTATATAGTCTATATATTTTTGAAGAATAAACTACACATTTATTATAATATATGTAATTTGATCAAGTAATTATTTATGTTTGATTAATTCATTTTTTGCATACATACTTATAATATTCGCTAAACGACTTAGATCATTGACGTTGGTACAAATTAGTTTCACAATATGCCAACTTCACCTATGAAGTTGAGATATTCAAATATGGTAAACCCATACTCAAAAAAAAAATGGCGTTTTTGATTGCTTCATATAAGGAATTGGTTTAAAAATAAGAAGGGTAATTTTAATAGTTTAATTCAAAATATGATGTCACATTTCATCTTATTTACTAATGGTAGGCTAGGCTACAAGAAGTATTGTTTTAAAAATCAGATGTTATGTGACGGTGGGTTCGTAATGACTTTTGGCGCATTCGAGTCATATACAATCCGATCTTGTGGTGAGATCAGATTTGGTGAGTGTATCAGCTTGTTTCCGTTATGTATCAGAAAGTAATCTTTATGGTAAATTGCTACATCCATCTACATCCCGTTAATGATTTTTAAAATTTCACGATCATGACACTCAATTTTGATACATTTCGACTGATACTCACGAAATTGATATTTCACAATTGATTACGTATTCAAATATTGCGATTTAGAGCCATGATTACAAAAGAAATCTATTGAATGGTCCAAAAATATCACATGACGTAACTTACATGATACTCTTAACAAATAAGAAACTGGAATCCATACTGAGTGAGTAATTTATTGTCTTTCAACTTCTTAACAAAAATAGTTGTTATGTCTTGTAAAATTTTCAATTAGGTAATTGGTTTGAAGACCATATAAGTAATGACACATGGTGAGTGGTATTCCAAGACTATTGAATAATTATCCAACTTAAGTGTACAAAAACATATACAGAGATGGGTATAATTGTAATATTCCAACAATTTGGGGCTATCTATGGTGTGAACGTTTATTGGGGCAGGTCATTGTAATTTTCCATTTTATTTTGGGTGATTCTACTTACACAACTCTTTTATCTCCTTACACCCCCCATCTCATTACACCACTTAAAAAAAAATTGAATTCTCATTACACCTAATAAAGTACCAAAACAAACCCTAGGATAAAAAACTCTTCAAAACCCATATCTTTACACCCATACTTTTGGATGGAAAAGAGAACGACGCAGGGAAGAAGAGTAGACAACACCGGCGTGGAGGCGTTCGGACGACATGGACGATTGAACTCACTCTTCTCATTTGCCAAAGGTAAGTGTGAAAACTCTTCTTTCTCTCTCTATATTGATAGACATATATATGTGTATCTATCTATATATCTATATCATTTATGTCATCATTTTTTGCGAATAGACAAAGAATAGCACATTCCTAACATAGCTTTGGTGGTTTTGATCTTGGAATTTAATTGGGTTTGTGATTTTTGTGCTAGTTTTGAATGTTGAAATTCAGATTTTGGTTCTATGTTTTATCAGATTTTTGGTCCTCTGTTTTGCCCACTATCTCTTTCTTTCTTTTTCTTTTTTTTTGAGAGTGATAGTTAAATGGAAAGGGTTAGGGTTCTATGGGTAAAGAGCTGCCATAGAAGGTTATCAATAGTTGTGGAAAAAAATTGAATTTCTGGGTTAGTTTTGAAAATTCCAGTAGAGTTTTTAAAAATATTTATTAAAAACAAAAAAAAACTCAATTTAAAAAAAAAAAAGTGAAACGAAACACATTGATTCTGAGGTATTCTAGTTCGTTATTGCTTGGGATTAGTTCAATTTGATTTCATTTTGAGTAGTTTTTAAGTTGCATATGCTGTCAAGTTACAAATACAACTATAGTTTCAAATTACTTTCGGTAACAATTCTCTTTTGCTTGTTAATTGTTTGGTCGCTGAGAAAATCTAGCGAAAGGAAACATAATTAGTCCATACACACATTTTGTAGTAGAAGGGTACCACGCTCTATGGCCGTATCATACCTTACGGGATTTTGTTTTAGCCTAATGACAGTTTTGTGAAAAATTTCAAAATGTTATTCAAATTTTCTAGAATTGTGCCGAGTGGCATTTTGTTTTTTTTTTCATAGGCTACATATACTCACAAAACTTCATGTCAAACAGAGTCAGAGTTATGTGTAGGATTTATGTAATAGAATAGATGAGGTATTGTTTTGGTTTTCATAAGCTCACAAACTCACTGCAATGGAGCCTTTAATTGAATCAGTTGGTTCAAGGGCTGTGGTTTTTGTATTTTCTAGTCACAATATAATGGGAATCAAATAGCCATTAATTAGAACCTTTTTTATTTTTTATTTTATATAAATTTCCTTTAAAGGGAGTCCATATTTTCCAGAAAAATGTTAGCCCCTAGAGATATCATCTCCACTTGGGCAACCATAAGAAGCAACTCCAGGAGCATAACACACATGACACAAACATTAGAAGTGTTGGAGCAGAGGGGACATTGTCTCATCAACCAACATGGAAATCACCTTAAGCGTAGTCATTCACATTGGATCCGAATCTTGTATGGGAATAATGGTGCATTAATTTCTTCAAAATTTTTTTTTTTTTTTTTGTTTAATTCTCCGTTCTAAGAGACCAAAATGAAAGGCATGAGGTTTTCCGTGAGGAATATACCACGACCTAATAGAAGCTGGTGATTTCATGATAGCTCATGTATATTCTTTTACTCTATGGAGTTGCAAGGACCCTTGTAAAAACAAGAGAATCATTGTTGATTAGCTAGTATATGCGAAGGCACCATCACGACATACTATTTATCTAGTTATTGATGTTTTCATTTCAGTAAGCAACATATAAAAACATGTATTGTTAATAGTTGAACAAAACTATCATACATAGTATGATTGGGGTTCCTCGTTCAAAGCATACGTTCCATGAAGTGGCTAGTGTGCTCCCTCTCCTTGCTTAAACCTTGCTTTACGTCACACTAGCGACTCGTGAAAGCAACCCACACTGGCTTCTGTTTGGCCTAGCCTATTATGTGTCTCTAGCGGGATGGTGCATGTATCACCCAATCAAACATAGTACAGTTGGGGTTCAGAAAAACATAATGTTAAATGTTTGCAAGACAAAAAAACATGGAACTAGATTGAAACCCCTCAGCTAAAAATGCTAAAAAAAAATTAAAAAAAAAATTGTCTCTCAATAAAAAATATGAACCAGTGACCAAGAAGAGACCTGGCCTGTCATTTTTTAACCAAAATTAAGTACAACGTCTAATAAATGTGGTTGAATTTAAAAATTCTCATGTGCACAATGACATTATTGCATCGAAAGAAAGCACATGTATAGTGTCTGGACACATTGTAGAATTAGAATATGATGAACTTAATGATAAATGTATCTCCAGTTGCATGCCAATAAAAATGAAATGAAAAGAGATAGTTGGAACTGAACTGCCTCAAACATTACTTGCTTATGGCAACTTGAAAGCCAAAGTCAAGTATGTAATGAGCAGGACCAAAATTACGCATGTGGTGCCACTGTATTGTGTAAGCAATAAGCGTCACACTCATACATGAATTGAGATATTGGATGTAGCAGTATGATAGCTTTTCTTTATTAGTGCTCAAACAACACTTGGGACACCTATGATGAAAAAATTATGTAAGTCACAATGCCCCACAATTTAAGGAACTTGAGATACTATTTTGAATCCTAACACTTGCTTATTTCTCAGTTTGAATGCTCTTTTCAAATTACCTGAATATTATTATACAAGTATGTCAATTTTCTTATGAGCTGTAACATCTAAAGGCAAGGTATCCCAAGAAGATTAGATTGTGAGCTTTAAGATACAATACAATGTTAACATTTAAAAATTAAAAATAAACAAGAAAAACTAGAAACTTGAAATAGAACAATGTTGGCACATTAAAATTATCAAATGCATACTTACATTATAATTTGAATTTTTTCCCTTTTCTATACATTTGCACATTCAAATTTTTTTCTTTAAATTGAATGTTATCTATGAAATTATGGTTTCTTTGCTGATATTGTTTACATCAGTCATTTAATATATTCGAGTTTTTGCTAATATTAGGTTTAATTTATTTATTTTTACATAGAAATGGTTAGTGGTGTCTCATGTAAGAGACCAACGGCATCCAACAAAAGACGTGCTAAGCAAACAGAACCTGAACCAATGGAAGTGAATGTCCCTGTGGAAGAGGATGACCATGTGGATGCGAATAATGATTATGTTGACGACGATATTGGTGTGGAGGATGACGATGTCGATAATGATATTGGTGTAGAGGCTGACCTCATGGAGGACGATGTTGGTGTGGTTGATGACAACATAGAACCAGTTCCGGGTGCTCCAGAGGATCCTTCATTGCTAATTAGCTTCCGTAACCATGTTGCTGCCGCTGTTTGGAAGAAAAAGGTATTTTGAGAATTTCTCAACAATAAACTATTCATATGTACTATATGCTTCAAATTATTTATATGTTTTATGTAAAATGCAGGAACAAGGACCTCTTAAATGCTTGAATCGTTCTCGAAAGCTTGCCGAGTGGCCATGGATGTCGCCAACAGTCCAAAATATTAGGCGGAGACATTTGGTTGAGCAGTCTGGTCTTAGTGTCCTTATTGATCACACATATCGGCATGGCAATAGAGTGGCAATATCTACCTTCACTGAAAGGTGGCATCCAGAGACAAATACATTTCACATGCCAGATGGTGAGATGATTGTCACATTGGATGATATGCAGACCATACTTGGCATTCCAATCACTGGCATGGCTTTGTCATGTCCTAAGTTAACAAGATACGAGGCTGCTGAACTGGTGAATGCTACTTTGGGAGTGCCAGTGAATGATGCATTTGCAGAATTAGTTCAATCTCATAGGCAATCCGTGAAGCTAAAGTGGTTGCGAATTAGATTTCATGAAGTTAACGATACAGATGATGCAAATTTCATAGAATACGCAGCGAGAGCTTACTTGCTATACTTATTAGGTTGTAACCTCTTCGCTGACAAGAGTGGGACTCGAGTACCTGTTGCTTACCTGCACATGTTGACTGACATTGATGTTGTTAGCTCATATGCAGTGGGTAAGCAAATTGTCAATTAGCTTTTTTCACTTTTAAGTGGTTCACTATAAATCAAACACTAAGTACGATTTTTATCAATTTTTTTTGCAGTGTAATGATGCTGCTTTCAATGTTGGTGCTGCAATCCATAGGCTCGGTCGTGATGAGTGTGACTTGCACCCTGACATGCTGTATAAAACCATTGGTCGCATGCTGCAAGTTCTTGATGGACAGAGTTTTGGATCTACTTCGACACGTACAGAGCATCAAGTTTACTATCGCAAACGTCGTAGGATGGACCATACATGAGGATTGAGATCTACTTTTTGTTTGTTGGCATAATTTTGCATAACGTCTAGCCCGTATACATTTTGGGATATAGTTTTGTGTTAACTGTACATGATATTTGGGATGTAGTTTTTTTTTTATGGCATAGTTTTTGTGAAAGCCTAGCCCGTACAGAATTTGGGATCTAGTTTTTTTTTTTTATGACATAGTTTTTGTGAATGCCTAGGCCATACAGAATTTGGGATATACTTTCCCCTAATGGCATAGTTTTTGTGGATACCTTGGATCTTTTATAAACTGGATGCTTGGTTGGACAAGTAATGAATTGTCATACTTTTGTAAGAATTTTAAACAGTTTCACATCTATTTTGTATTCAATATTTATGTCAATGGAAACTTATTTTGGCGAACATATGGATTTGTTATTGTTTGTAATGCATTGTAATGGTATTAAAGTGTTTTGGAGGAATATGGTACCATTTGCTGGAAGTAACATTGTTTTTTTCAGTGTTATGGGCCAGTTCAGCGTCGTACTGCTAAACAATTTGAATTATTCCGATGTTCAGTTGCCGGAAACAATAGATCCCTCCAACATTTAGTTACTGTATATTTCTAGAGCCACTTTATCCTAAACAATGTTTTTTTTTATTTGTGCTGGGCCTGTTCGGTAATACAATGCTAAACAATTTGAACTACTCTAGTTCCATTGTACCGGATAAAATTTTGTTTCCCAACGTTATGTTACCGTTCAATTGGATAATTTTTGTTCGCTTCCCAACAAAGCCAGTAGAGTCCACATGGAAGTGCCTGTTCGATCACACAATGCGAAATAATTTACAAAAATTCGGTGCTATAACGCCAGAATAAATGGTTTTGTCCAGCCTTTTGTGACTATACATTTACAGAGTCACATCCTCCCAAATGATGTGGTAATAATTTGTGCTGGGGCTGTTCGGTAATAAAATGCTAATGAATTTTAATTAATCCAGTGTTGTGTTACCAGACAAAATAGTTTTTCCCAGCATTATGTTGCCATACAATTGGAAAATTTCAATTTGCTTCATAACAAAGTCAGTGGAGCCCACTGTGAAGTGTCTGTTCAGTCACACAATAGTATACAAATTACAATTATCCAGTGTTATGTTGCTGGAAAAAATATATTTGTCTAGCGTTCTGTTGCTATACATTTACAGAGCCACTTTGTTATAAATAATAATTTGGGATTGTTCGGTAATATAATGCTAGACTTATATTTTTTTTTCGGCACTGTGATGCCAGACTATGTTATTTTGTTCAATTTCGAAACACTGAACAAAAGTTGCACACTAACCCAGAAAATCGAAACAAAAACCTACCAAACTAAAAAAAAAAACTCACCATTTCACTTTTTTGATGGTTTTTCACTACCGTTTCTTCATCCATTGCTTTTTTTGATGATCAAAATGCTATGATTATCAGTTTTTCAAAAGAGATGTGTAAGAGAAAAGAAAAGTTGAGAAAGGAAAAAGAGAAGTAGGAATTGAAAGGTCAAGGGGTATCAGGAGATAATCAAATACATTTAATTTTAGTGTTTTGTCCCTTTAAGTAATTTCACATATGGATAAAATTGGAAAAAAAAAATCTTACATGGAGGGTGTAAGGAGGTAAAAGAGTGGTGTAAGTAGAATCACCCTTTTATTTTTGAGTGATTCTACTTACACCACTACTTTACCTCTTTACACCCTCCATATGAGTTTTTTTTCTTTTTTTTTTCCCCTAATTTTATCCATGTGTGAAATTACTTTTAAGGACAAAATACTAAAATTAAATTTATTTTGTTATCTCCTTACACCTCTTGATCTTCAATCCCTACTTCTCTTTTTCCTTTCTTAATTTTTCTTTTCTCTTACGCATCTCTTTTCAAAAAGTAAGAATCATAGTTTTTTGATCATTAAAGAAAGCAATGGATGAAGAAACGGTGGTGAAGAACCATTAAAAAAGTAAAATGGTGAGTTTCTTTTATTTATTTGGTAGGTTTTTGTTTCATTTTTCTAGACCGGTGTTCGACTTTCGTTCAGTGGTTCGAAATCGAACAAAATAAAATAGTTCGGCATCACATTGCCGAACAAAAAATGTAAGTCTGATAACCAACTGCCGAATAAAAGATGCAATTTTGGTAACCCCAAACAGAATTTTTTTAATTTGTTCGGCTTCTCATTACCATGTATTTTCAGTTTCATTTTTTTATATTTTTTATTTTCTTGCTTGGAAGGATTATACTTATACTCATTGCAACAACGCAAGTACTGCAATATTAGTAAACTCTAGTCATGAATTTATTACAGATGAGATTCATTAAGTTTTTTTATGAATACGATTTTTTCTTATTTTTAATTTGTATTGAGTTTTATTAATAATTTAACGTATAAATGTATTTATTATATTTAGATTTTTAGTAGTCATGAAGCATTAATTAAATGGGCTTCTGACGTTGGGACGAAGACTGGATTTGTCATTGTTATAAAGACATCAGATACGGGAGGCAATGGTAGAAAATCAAGACTTACACTTGCTTGAGAAAAGAAGTGGTTACTATAGAGACAACAGGAAGGTCAAAGGGGAACGATTGAGGTACACAGGTTCTAAAAAGTGTGGATGTCTATTTCTAGTAAGGGGGAAAAATTACCTACAAATTACCAAGACGAATTGTGATAACATGTTTGATTGATGGATGCAAACAATGACAGATTTTATGGATATTCGTACACTTAATGTTTTTATGGATAATTTTACGGATATTTTTTATGTATGATTTTATGGGTGCGTGTTTGATTTATGAATTTTTTTATGGATGCTTCAAGGAAAAAGTAAATCTTTCAATGTACAGCGACGGGGGCCTAGACAACTCTATTGTAGTTTGGCAATATGACACTTGAGTAATCTCATTTGTATAATAATGTATCACTGAACAGGCACTTCACAAGTGACCCAAATTAATTTATTGTTATCATCTAATTGGATGGCAACATAATGCTGGGAAAAAAAATATTGTCTGGTAACATAGCACATGAGTAATTTAAATTAATTAGCGTTATATTACCGAACAAGCCTACCACAAATTAAAAAATCATTGTTTTGAAGAAAGTGGCTCTGTAAATGTATAGTAACAAAATGCTAGAGAGATCTATTTTTTTGGGCAGCATAACACCGAAATAATGTATATTATTTAGCATCGTGTTACAAAAATTAGTGGTGTAAAGAGATGAAATAATTAATTTAGGGTTAGTTTTGATAATATATTGGAGGTGTAATGAGAATTACATTTTTTATAGTGGTGTAATAAGATGGAGAGTGTAAAGAGGTTAAATAGTAGTGTAAGTAGAATCACCCTTATTTTTTTCCTCTCCCAATCCAACCCCCAAAAGTCTCTTTTGCAATTTTTCAGAACTTCCTCGATGGAAATTCTGAGTAAATTAATTAATCAAACTCATGTCTTTCTAATTATTATTTGAATAAGGGATTAATTTGATCCTTGTCATCCCATACTAGGAAAAATGGGATCCATTGTCTGCATTGTTGTTGATATCCCCACTCTCGCTCTCTACCCTTCGCGTTCGCCGCCTCCGCCGCCGCCAGTAGTAGTTTTTTCTTTTTCTCTCTCTCTAGGGTTTAAGCTAGTGGAGAAGAAGGGTGTTGCAGAGCTCAAAAGAATCTATAGAGATAAAATGAAGTATTCCCTTTTGTGCTTACTCTGTCAGTGCCCACAACCACCTTCCCATCCACTTAAAGAAACTATCTTTTATCCCCCTATACTATAGACAAATTTGGATGGACTATTTCTAATTGGACTATATGAATTGAAATTAAAAATAATAATAATAATTTTGAGGCAACTGATTGTGGTAGATTTATAGTGCTTGGAATCTATACTTTTGTTGTGTTCTTCATAAAAATATATTGTTAATTTCTTGTCTTGTATTGAGGATGAGGAAAGCTGAAGTGAATTCAGTTGATCTGCCTGAACTTTGTAATTGGGCATCGAACATGGTCATTGCTATAGTCACTGAATTTTGAATAGGACTGTACTTCAAATCTCAAAACAACTTCATTTTTCAATATGAATTGAATGAAACTATAATATACGAACTATGAACCTCAAACATTCCATATTGAGGAAAATTTTCTTTGATGTCTTGCAGTTTTTTGGGAATTGTAGTCAGAAGATGGTGGAGTTCTTGCAAAGTTCAATGGGAATTATTCTTTGAAACCATACTGAGAGAGTATTGCTACTTTTATCAAAGAGATTGTGGATGAAGAGTTAAAAGGACAGTTCCAATTCTGATGTGCATCCAACGGCTAAGAAAAGTGTCATTTTCTGTGTTGAAGGAAACATCAGCGTTGTCAAGACAACTTTCCTGAACTTATTAATAAGCGGCAGGATGTTGGACCCGATCACTTCAGTATCTTAGATGCTTTTTACGCTGAGCCACAAAGGTACGCATATATACCTTCCAAAACTATGTTTGTTTGTTACTAGAGTCAGCCGGAGTCGTCTGGTGGAATTAAGCCCCTCAAGTCAGTAGTCTTTTATTTCTTTATGTAATGTGTCTCTTCTAACATACGTATTTTTTAATTTTGATTCTTTGTAGCATATGACAAGGCATATTTGGCTCAATTGGGATCTCCAAAAACACCCATATCAAGATTTTGTTTTTACATATTTTCCTTTGTTTCCAATGCAATATAGAGCTTATATAACATGATAGTTCGACTATTACATATATATATGTCCTAGTGGGACACCTAGTGCTAGTGCTAGTAGTGCATGAGTCTATATTACAAAGAGTTACCATGCCTAAAAGGCAAATTATAATAATGTCAAACAAAGCTACAAAACAAATAATTTTTGATACATGGACATGCAATTTCAAGGAAAAGTCAAGATACAATAAAATGATAGTTTTAATTTAACGGGAATAAATATTGGTAATCCCAAGCACACAATCTTAGCTGGAAGCATAACATCCCACATGAACATATGC